CCTTTTTCCCCTCCCTCTCCCACTCACCAAACCCCCCCTCCCCCCTCAGCCCTCTGTTCTTTTCTTTTGCCTTCTTCCCTTTCTCTTTCAGTGTTCGTGTGTTCAACATTTTTTACAAGCACTTCCCCGCCCCCCAGCTGTGTGTGGCAGAAACTTAAAGACGAGGGCTAAGCAAGGTTGAACCACTTCTCAGTTAAGATGGGGCAACTCGGCAAGGCCTCCCTTGACTGCACGCTCTAAGTGAAGAACACTTGGCTCTTCTGAACTGATTGAGCCAGGCCTTTCTTGCACTGTTCCCTTTCCACCTGAAGCAACCTGGCTTCAATTCTGGCTTTGCCAGATGGCTGCATTTCTAAGGCACCTCTAATTTTAGATATAGTGCTATGTCTCCCGATTGTATGTTGATAAAATATTTTCTTTAATAATAATAATACTCTTGTCTCCATTTTCTGCCCTTCCCGTTTCCAATACCATCTGTCTGTTTATCAGTATATATAAAACCACTTGTATCTATCGCTGCCTGCCTGCTCATGGTGATAGGTCATTGTCTTAGACTCCACACTGTGTTTGGTGTGAAGACTTGTGGTGGTGGCGCTCTGAGGCTGGCCGATTCATCTGTGTGTTCCCCCATGAGACGGACGGTGTCTCTCTGTTGGAGCTTCACAAGCCTACCCCATTCACTCCTTACACGCCACTAATGGCTTGCCTCAGTAATTGGAGGAACGAATGAGGTTTGCACAGAAGTCATGCTCCTTCGAAGTTGCCTAATTCCGGGGCCTTTCCACCTGGGGTGATGACTTTTAGGAGTGCGTTACCGACGGCCCTCTCCACCCTTTGTGTCTCCTCAGAATGACCCCCCTGTCCTCCCAGAACGTGATGATTCATCATGGCCAGACCCAGGAGTATGTGATCAAGCCCAAGTACTTCGCGGCTCAGAAGGTGATCTCGGGAGAACAGGCCACAGAAGGCGTGTTCCCTTTAAGATACGGGCAGGATCGAGTCGCTGTACCTTTTCAGGGTGAGTATGACCCCGTTCGTTTGGCCGTCTTCCGAAGTCCTGGTGCCATCACACCTAGATCAGTCTAGGTGATTTTAATGTGTCACAGTAGATAAAATTCAAGTCATTTAAAAAAATAGACATTGCTTGCTAAAACTACCAGATACAGAGCGTTAGCATGGTTTCCTTTTATTTTTCTGGATGTTGGAAAGGCACCTGAAGCGACCTGGCCTCAATTCTGTCTTTGCAAGCTGGCTGCATTTCCAAGACACCTCTAATTTTAGATACAGTGCTACGTCTCCCGATTGTAAGTTGATAAAATATTTTCTTTAATAATAAGCTAGCCAGGATCCGTTTTTTTTTGGTGGCTAGTGAAATGTCTGAAATGCCCTGTATAACTCTGAGAAGGTTCACCTACGATGAATATTTTTAGGCTACCAGGTCCACCCACTTTTCAGCATATCAAGCAGATGGTGTGGCAGATTTTACCCAGAATTTGTAAAGAGCTATTGTATCAGTGGCCAGCGTGGTTAATATCTCACTCTGCAGGAAGCTCAAGGACGGTCCGGCTCAAAGGGCGGGGAATGTGATGATTTGTGGTTTAGATATTACAGAGTGTCTGCTGGCAGCATCTGGAGGGAGCTGAGGGAGTGAAGCAGCAGACCTTTCTGAGGCCGGCGGGAGCTGGAGCGCTGTAGGTCCAGCCGCTTCCTGCTCCGTCCGCACCCGCCTACCTGCTTGTGCCATCAGTCATAGGTGGGAATGTCACCACCAGGGAAAGAATGAGGGGCAGACAGGCTTTGGCCCACTGTGTTTGGCACTCTGAAAGTCTGTATCTGCTGGGATTTGGTTTTGTGGGCCCACCTCCACCTCTCTGTTTCTGCACTGAGCCTTGGGCACTAGGTCACCCTTCACAGCCCACCAGGTGACACCCATAGGGTCTAAGATGGCAGGGCTACAAAGAGATCATGGGAAATGAAAAGATAATTGGGATTTTTTTTTTTTTTTACAAATTTTTTGAAGCCCCCTCATGGAAAGTTTGGACATCTTTCGAGAAGATTCTACTGAGTTTGCCTGAGGCGGTACCCTAGAGATAATGTTTGGTGCGACTGACAGAGAAGGTGAGGGAAAGTAGCCCTTGGGTCGCAAAGAGGAGAGAAATCCTAGATCAGTCTCCCCAAATAGACACACACGTGCTGTTTCTGTCCAGCTGACGTTCCCTTCAAAACGTGTGGCTAAGGAGTCCCTTCTGACTAGAGGGCAGGCTCGAGCCAGGAGCCAAGGCTGTGCTCTACTGGGGGGAGTCCTGATGGCCAAGTCCGCAGTGTGAACCCACCAGCCGCCCCGCGGGAGAAGATGAGGCTTCCTTCTCTCGTAAGGAATGACAATCTCAGAAACGAGGGGGAAGGGTGTGTGTGTGTGAAGTGACTCGATGGAAGGAGTTTGGCTTTGTTCTGGTTTACTCTTTCCCACGGCAGACCAGCTTGCAAAGTGGCTGATGGATTCAAAACGCTGACCTTTCAGTTAGCAGCCAAGTGCTTTCACCCCATGCACCAAAAGACTCCTCAAATAACCTTTGCATGCGTAATAGGTTTCTTAGCCCACGTTTAATCAGGAAGAACCATTTATTGTTTCTTTAAATAGGTTGTATAGTGTTGAAGCACTTGCAAGTTGGAATCCGAGGAGAATAGAGCTTTTTGCAGGTGTATGAGTTTGACCCTGCAGTTAATGGTCCAATACTTAACCCTCCAGAGCTCCATACATTCTCATTTATGTTAAAGCTCTTTGTCTTCCTGGAGATGAAATTATGTTTCAGAAGAGTGTGAAGATCTCCGCTGTCCCACTCGACAGTTTTCCACTCCGCCTTTTCCGTGAGCTTTCTTCAGACTAGAGAGCTAGTGCAGTGACCAGGTCGGCGCATTGTCGTAAGGATGGAGTTCTCTGCTCAGGTCCTGGACAGCTGGCCTCTTGCCCAGGGAAGGCTCGGGTCCTGACATGGATTCAGGCATTCAGGAAGGACAGAAGAAGAGATGGGGCCATTTTTGCCAAGGCCAGAGCTCCAAAGAGAGCTGGAGGGTTACCTGGAAACTTTTCAAATAGGGGTTTGGGCAGGACCATTGCTGCCATTAGGTATCATGGAGTTTGTTCTGACCCATAGCAACAGGACCATTAAGGGTCCTGAGATTGTAAAATTGAGTGAGAACAGCACTGGGATGATTAAACTGAAAGGTTGTGTGCATAGTAGAAAGGGCTTAGAAGACAGTAGAACTGCTCTGTGCAGTTTCCCAGACTGTAAATCTTTATTGGAGCAGACCGCCTCTTCTTTAACCCATGGAGCAGCCAGTGGGTTTTGAACTACCGACCTTGTGGTTAGCAGCCCAGAGGTTAACCTATCAGTTCTGGGATGTTCTAGGGCCCAATGGTGCTTTTTCTAAGGAAAAATGAGATAAATGAACTTAGAGTTTCACTGTGACAAGGGAAAGGCTACATTTGAGAAAGAAGAGGTGGGGTGTGCTCAGCCTTTGAGTTTCTTGGGTAGAAACAGGGCTTTTCTTGCGTTCACTTGTGTGTGGAAGTCAAAATAGTTCCTAGGGAATAAATCATTAGAAATGAAGTGATGGTTTTCATTTGAATAAAAAAGACTACAAAATGCTGCCCCTGAGAGATTGAAGTAGATTTGCATCCTCTCATGAAAAAGATTATTTTGATGTGGTATATATTTTACCACATTAACCGGGGTCGGAGTGGGTAGGGGGCTGCTTTAATCTTAGTAGTAAATCAAATGTGTCTGTCCCTACTTTAAGGTTAGGACTCTTTTATTTTTTTTTAATCTAACATTTCTCTAAAAAATAATTTTTGTTTTCCTCTCTGATTTTTTTCCTTTTCAGTATTTACTAAGTAGTATTCCTAGAGGGATAGAAATGTACCTCAACCGAAATCAGCTGCATTGTTTTCCTTGTTTCCATACAAAGCCCCAAACAATCAAACTCACTGCCATTGAGTTGATTCCAACTCTAGACAGGGAAGAACTGCCCCTGTGTTTCTGAGACTGTGGCTCTTCATGGGAACAGGAAGCCTCGTTTGTCTCCTGTGGAGCACCTGGTGGATTTGAACTACTGATATTAAGGTTAGCAGCTCAACCCATAACCCACTATGCCACCAGGGCTCCTCTGTTCCCATACAAGGGACATAATAATTAATATATCATGAAGTGGGAGGAACCCTTTTCTTCTCTACGCAGTAATTGCAATGTGATTATATCTCACTAATTCCTTTGATAGAATTTAAAAACACGAAATAAATGAATGAAGGTGTGAATAAGTAAACACATGGTTCGTACCGTCTACACTCATTCACCATGCATATATGTGTGATTTAAACAGTCCGTTTTTGAACTTCTTACACTAGCCACAAAGCAGATATCCCTCCTTAACCCTCATTGCATTTCACAAGTTGGCTCTTTGAAGTTTTTAGCTTAAAAAAAAAAATTAAATGAGAACATTTCAAATGCACCCCGCCCCATTATTGTTATTTTAAAAAATCCTGTATCCTAGAAACAGATTTAAGAGCTTTGATAAAAATAATAAACGCCTCTTTAGAGCATGTCCTGGGGGGAGGGTGGGTGGGGTGGTATTTGGTCGCCCAGGGCTCCTTGGGTGGGATTGAGTGCTCTTCCTAATGAGGCCTGCAGCCACACACACCCGCAAGTTCTGCTCTTGCCTTTTATGGGCGCCACTTAATGACTACAGGTGCATCTCATGATTGCAAGGGCCTGTCTGCCTTGGGTCCAGCAGAAACCAGAGCGTCCCCTCCCACGCTTGCAGCTCGCATTCCACCAAGTAGCCGGCTGCAGCAGGCATCTGCTTTACTTCAGTGGGGTATGTGTTTAGACTCCAGCAACAAACTTTGTTGCTTTTATGTGTCTTATTCCTGTCCTCAACACTGAAAAATACACCCACCAGCTCTAGTTGGGTTAGATGCTACCTTGATGCTGATTTTTCAAAGACAGTTGAACCTCTCTAGATATTTTGAGCCCTGATGGCTCAGTGGTTACTCATGGGGTTGCTAACCACATTGCTGGTCGTTCAAAACCACTAGCCGCTTGTTGGGAGACAGACGAGGCTTTCTATTCCCCTGCAGAGTTCCAGTCTGGGAAACCCACAGGGGCAGTTCCACCCTCCCCTTAGGGTCACTGTTGATTTGGAATTGACTCAATGGCCGGGAGTGAGGAGAGGGTTCTTGACAATGAAGGATGACTTAGGTGTGCTTTCAATTGCTCTTATAGAGAGAGAGATACATACATTGTTATGATCAGTGTTTATTGTTCCTATGTAATATTTCTTTTTTCTTCTAACATTGTACTCATTCCAGAACAAATCACAGAAGTGGCAAATTGTATCACCTGTTCATAAGTCTTCTTCCATCTCTTCTTGCCACGACTTCCCTGTGGTGATGGTGGCCCTAGAGCGGAGCTTGCACAGGGACTTGAGCTTGGCCGTGGGCCTGACTTTGACCAGTGGAGAGTGGGTAGAGGCTTTAAGAGGTGTTGTGTGTTTTCTGCCTTACCTGTTCGGCCACAAGGAAGGCATGCACCTGGGCTGCGGGCTTGCCAGTCCCCTTCAAGTCTACTGCTTTCCTTAGATCTCCTGCCTTGCAGGAACTCTAGCATAATTATTTTTTCTTCAGGGGACTTGGGACAAGCAGGTTGTCGGTCGAACAGCCTGACAGCACTTTCATTGAGCAGAGGACTAATCCGTCAGAAGCTGTTGGGGTGACTCCACGCTCTGACCACAGAAAGTTGGCGAGAGCTAGGCACTTGACCCAGGAAAAACCGACCGGTGATCAGCTAGCTGCCGAAAAGGTGGCCTGGCCAAGGAGCTTCCCTCACAGGAATTAAATGAGATGAATCCAGAGTGTCTTTCAAGGAATTTGCATGTTAAGCAACGAGTGACTGGCACCGACGTGGCACCAACGTATCCACAGAAGAAAGAGAAGCCGCCAGAGAGACACTTTCTCTCATG